GATGGGAAGGATGGATCTGGATGAGGTTGCGTATTTATATCTGCTAGTGTTTGATGACAGGGAGTATGCTTATCAAACTCTGAAGGAGTATACCCGGGATGAACTGCTAGAATGTATACGGCTCGCTCATGTTCTAGTAGATCAGGGAACAGAATTCTCTGAGGTGCAGCCATTGATTCAGGTTTGTGTGGAGTTGGTTTCATCTGGTACCCCCGAATGCAGGGATGAATTTTTGCCACCATTTAGTGCAGACCAGGTAGAGTCCCTGGTGTGGTTATTAGAGGATGATGTGGGTTACTTTCTGGAGCGTTATTCCACATGTTCACCACAGGTACTAAGAGATTGTATAAACGCAGTGCAGTCTTTGGTCAGACAGGCTTTGTGTAAGCTCAGCTTTGTTCAACCCATACTGCAGACATGGACAGATTTGTTACACTCAGCCTCAGTCAGCTTACAAAGACCCAGTCCTGCTTCTAATCTATTTCCTCAAAGCTCTACTCCTGTATTCCCAACAACTCCTCCAGTTACAGCCCAGTATACTTGGCTATCTACCGCATGTCAGTACCCTGTTCCCACTCGCTGCACCTATCCTGCCTTTAACCCTGTAAAGAAGCCCTCTGTAGCAACTGTTCCATCCTCCAGCTCTTCTCTGTCTCCAGCTACTCCATTCATTTGCAGACCTGCGTTTACTTGCAGTGCCCCAGTAGTTAAAACCAGAAAAAAAGCGAAAATTCTTTCCAACCAGTACCATCCTGCCAGTATCCAAACCGGTCAGCCTGCCGTCCGAGAACCTGCCTTCCGTGGTTCAGCCTGATGCCTCTCTTCAGCCTGATGCCTCTCTTCAGCCTGATGCCTCCACTCAGCCTGATGCCTCCACTCAGCCTGAAGCCTCCACTCAGCCTGAAGCCTCTACTCAGCCTGAAGCCTCTACTCAGCCTGAAGCCTCTACTCAGCCGGATGCCTCTACTCAGCCGGATGCTTCTACCCAGCATAATGAACTGATCCAGCCTGATGATCCTATTAGGCCAGTTGACTCGATGCCCGCTGTTGATCCAGATGATCCGGGTACCTGATCCGGTGCCCGCTGTCGTGCCAATTGACTCAGAGCCGCTGTCGTACCTGGTGACTCGGTGCCCACTGCCTTGCCAGATGACGCGGTGCCCGCTGGCGAGCCAAATGACCTGATGCCTGGTGACCCGATGCCCGCAGTCTTGCCAGACGACTCGGTGCCCGCAGTCTTGCCAGTTGACTCGGAGCCCACTGTCGTGCCTGGTGACTCGGTGCCCGCCGCTCCGCCTGGGGGCCCGAGACCTGTCGCTCCGCCTGGGGGTCCAGCGCCCGCCGCTCCACCTGGGGGTCCGGCGCCCGCCGCTCCGCCTGGGGGCCTGAGACCTGTCGCTCCGCCTGGGGGCCTGAGACCTGTCGCTCCGCCTGGGGGCCTGAGGCCTGGGGGTCCGGTGCCCGCCGCTCCGCCTGGGGGCCCGAGACCTGTCGCTCGCTCTGCCTGGGGGCCCGATGCCTGTTGCCCCGCCTGGGGGCCCGATGCCTGTCGCCCCTCCTGGTGGCCCGGTGCCTGCTGCTCCGCCTGGTGGCCCTGTCGCTCCGTGCCTGCCTGCTGCTCCGCCTGGTGGCCCGGTGCCTGCCGCTCCGCCTGGTGGCCCCTGCCTGCCTGCCGCGTCGCCTGGTGATCCGATGTGCCTCTGCCCGGAGTCCTGCCCGATGTGCCTCTGCCCGGAGTCCAGCCTGATGTGCCTCTGCCCCGGAGTCCAGCCCGATGTGCCTCTGCCCGGAGTGCAGCCCGATGTGCCTCTGCCCGGAGTCCAGCCCGATGTGCCTCTGCCCGGATTCCAGCCCGATGTGCCTCTACCCGGAGTCCAGCCCGATGTGCCTCTGCCCGGAGTCCAGCCCGATGTGCCTCTGCCCGGAGTCCAGCCCGATGTGCCTCTGCCCGGAGTCCTGCCCGATGTGCCTCTGCCCGGAGTCCTGCCCGATGTGCCGCTGCCCGAAGTCCTGCCCAGTGCGCCTCTTCCCGGTGTGCCGTTGCCCGATGTGCCGCTGCCCGGAGTGCCCTGCCCGGTGTGCCGCTGCCCGGAGTCCTGCCCGGTGGGCCAGTCTTTGATATCCCGCCAGTTACCAGACCCGGGCGGTGGAACATTTTGCCCAGCTAGGACTGTTTGGAGCGTCCTGAGGCCGCTCCTTGAGGGGGGGGTACTGTCAGGAATGGACTGGCCAGCAATGGTGGGACTCACCTGCCTTATGAGCTGCAGTACCAGGGCTGGCCAGCGGGTGCTCCCAGCAATCAGAGACTCAACCTTGCAGCCAGCAAAACACCTGAAACTGCTTATGCTGGTGTATTTAAGGGATGGCCAGACCTGCAGACTCTGCCTTGGTGTATGTTTTTCCTGGGCCCTGTATCCTGTTCCTGCTTCCTGTTTCTGTTCCTGTTCCTATTCCTGTTCCTGTCTTGTTGTTGACCCGGCCTGATCTATACCTCTGCTGACTTTCTCCTGCTCTGACCCCGGCTCGTTCCTGACCATCCCTCTGCCTGACACTCTGTACCACGCTGCCCGCTACCTGCTGACCCTGGCTTGTGACCCCGACCATTCTCCGCTTGCTCCCCCTGTACCTACCTGCCCGATTGATATTGACCCGGCCTGCCTGACGACGCTCGCATTGTTTGTACTGTTATCTGTGGGTGGTTGGTTGGGTTTGTTTGCACTGTGTTATGTTTAGTAATGCACTGCGTTTATGTTTGTATTGTTAGTGTTAATAAATTGTATTGTTTATAACATATCTGAAGTCTGCGTTTCCCTGCGTCAGTCACACACCTCTGGTCATACCGGGAGCCCTGACAGTAGTGCTCTCTGCTTCTGCTCGCTCTATTTCTCACAAAATATCGTTGAAGGTGTATAGCGGTTAAGAGTCTGATGTGAGGAGGTAACTGAAGCAGCGTCAGGCAGGCCAGGTCGGTATGGTGGTGGTGGCGGTGTAGTACAGAATAAGCAGGCAGAGGGATAAACAGGTCACAAGCCGGGTTCGTCAACAGGAGGTCAGAACGTATGGGGTTAAACAGGAGAATGGTCAGACAAAGCCAGGGATCAGAGCAGGAGACGGACAGCAAATCAGGATCAGGCAGGGTCGGCAACAAACAATCTACTCACAGGAACTCAGGAACACAGATAAGACCATAGGCGCTTGAGCATTGCAAGAGCCAGGTTTAAATAGCCCGCCTGACTCCTGACAGGCGCTCCTGGGTCCTAGTGCTTGCCCGGTGCCGTCATTGGTGACAGGCGCGCCTGGGTCTTAGTGCCCGCCTGCCTGTACATTTTGTCAGGATTCTACGCATGTGCAGATTCGTTCGCCGAGGCGATCTTTCCATTCCCTGACAGCTAAACTGACATTTTTGACCTACGTTTTCTAACAGTCAGTTTCCAGTGGTTAGAAAAGTTTTCCAAACACCCTGTGTACATTAGCCCTAGACACTATTATTTTGTCTAATGCATAAAGTAGTTCTAAAGGCTGAAGTCTTTTTTTACATTAGTTTGGGAAGGCTCTAAAGGTGAGAACTGCGAGAGCAGACACCGCTGTTCATTTAGTTCTCCCTGCCACTCTGAGCAGAGTCAGTCTACAGCTCTCTGCTCTGCCCCCCCAGCTCTTACTGGGGCACTTGGCTGTGGAAGGAGTGGGTGCGGCTGGCTTAGGCTCTCAGTGCCGGTCCAGGCTCCTGGATGGATCCTGGATGGATCCTGTGGATACTGGCTGAATAATGTCAGCTGACAGCAGACTTTAACCCACTGTCAGCTGAAAATGGGTCAGAGGAGAGCAGAACGAACTGTACTCCTGTGATCCACAGGAGAAGTACAGCCAAAGGAGCTTTCTATGTGAATGACAGCAGAGACTCTCTTCACTCTCTCCCTCCTCATTGGCTCAGAGACAGCAGTGGGAGCCATTTGTCCCACTGCTGAAAATCACAGCCAGTGAGGAGAGAGCGAGGGATGGGGCCAAGATGCATTCTGTGTGTCTATGGACACACAGCACTGGCTTGGAGCAAGCCTGTATGAGTGCCTCCATAGCAAGCAGCTTGCTATGGTGAGCACTTGTCTATGGGAGAGGAACAAGAAGCACTGGTGGGGGACCTCAGAAGAGGAGGATCAGGTGCTGCTCTTTGCAAATCCACTGCACAGAGCAGATACGTATACATGTTTATTATTTTTTTAAAAATAAAATGTGATCCTTTTCAATCACTTTAAATCATGATGGTATACTTTAAATTTAAAGTCTTGAGGAAGAGTAATAGAGGGCAGCTAGGTAAGAATTACCTACTCCAAAGGCACTTTAGTTTAGGTGATTGCCACCTTAGGTAACTGGTTAAAAGATAAAAAAAAACTGAGCACATGTCCTAGCACAGAACAACTAGACTTTTATGAATGTTTATCCACTTAACCACTTCATGTCCGGACACTTTTTACCCCCTTCCTGCCCAGGCCAATTTTCAGCTTTCAGTGCTTTCACACTTTGAATGACAATTGTGCGGTCATACAGCACTGTACCCATATGAATCTTTTAGCATTTTTTTGAGACAGATAAAACTTTATTTTGGTGGTATTTATTCACCACTGGGATTTTTTTTTTTTTTTTTGCTATATAAATGAAAAAGTCCAAAAATTTTGAAACAAAAGTGTTTTTCTTATAAAATTTTGCAAATAAATAATCTTTCTTCATAAATCTTGGCCAAAATTTCAGTTATATTTTTAGTAAAAAAAAAACCCAAATTAGTTTATAACCAACAATTATAATTTAAAAATTTTTTTTTTTACATTTCGATTTAATTTTTTTTATATTATTTATGGCCTTTTTAATTTTTTTAACCGCCTCCCGCCCACCATATAAGATAATGACAGGCACAAGGCGGTTCTCTTGTTCTTGGAGGACATCATATGACATCTTTCCATTCTAACCGCACATGCGCGAGTCTGGGAGCGTGCAGCTTGGCGATCGGCGGTGCGCTGTGTCCATCATCGATCTATGGAAAGAGCCAAAGATGTCAGCTCGGTCATGTGGTCAGCTGTGTCCAATCACAGCTGATGTCATGTAAATAGGGGAAACGCCGGTTATCGGCATTTCTCTCCTCACGAGCTGTCACGCTGACAGCTCGTGAGGAGAGCCAGTAATCGGCATTCCTCAGAGGGGACATCTACATTGATCATCAGGGCACTGATGATCAGTGTGCCCTGATGATCAGTGTAGCCACAGCAGTGCCACCTCTCAGTGTCCATCAGTGCCAGCTGTCAGTGCTCATCAGTGCCACCTGCCAGTGCCCATCAGTGCCACATCAATGCCACATATCAGTGCCTACCAGTGCACATCAATGCCACATATCAGTGCCCATCTGAGCTGCCTTTCAGTGTCACCTATCAGTGCCAGTCAGTGCCACCTATCAATGCCAGTCAGTGCCAGCCCTCAGTGCTGCCAATCAGTGCTGCCAATCAGTGCCGCCTATCAGTGCCAGTCAGTGCTGCCTATCAGTGCCCATCAATGCTGCCTATCAGTGCCGCCTAACTGTGCCAGTCATTTGCCGCCTATCAGTGCCAGTTAGTGCCGCCTATCAGTGCCAGTCAGTGCTGCCTATCAGTGCCACCTATCAGTGCTGCCTTTCAGTGCCCATCAGTGATGCCTGTCAATGCCCATCAGTGCCACCTACCAGTGCCTCCTCATCAGTGTTCATCAGTGCCACCTATCAGTGTCCATCAGTGTAGCCTATCAGTGCCCATCACTGCAGCCTCATTAGCGCACATCAGTGAAGGAGAAAAATCACTTATTTACAAAATTTTATAACAAAAACTAAAAAAAAATTTTTTTTTTCAAAATTTTCTGTGGTTTTTGGTTTGTTTAGCAAAAAAATAAAAAATCCAGAGGTGATTAAATACCACCAAAAGAATGCTCTATCTGTCACAAAAAATGATAAAAATTTCATATGAGTACAGTGTTGTATGACCGCGCAATTGTCATTCACAGTGCGACAGTGCTGAAAGCTGGAAATTGGCCTGGGCAGGAAGAGGGTATAAGTGCCCGGTAGGCCAGTGGTTAAACATACTGTCACCTAGCAGTACAGTGTCACCAGGGAGCGCACACAAGCAGGAAGGATGAAGGATGTTTATAAACGGCCACCTGCCCCTGCACTGCTCCTGTCTGGCCGTTTATGTACATGGGCCAGATGGGAAGTGGTTAAATACTGCCCGCCTGCAATGTACTGCGGACAGGTGGTATCTACAGGTTTGGAGCACACATGAGCTCCCCTTGGTTACCCCTGCCATCATTCGCTGCCAGACATGTTAGTCAGCAGGTCCCAGCCAATGATTTTTGGCCGGGACTCTGCTGATCCCCTGCACCGAATAGAAAAGCAGAGCTATGCCTGTATTTGTAAATACAGGCACAGAATCTAGCTGGATCCTCTCTCCCTGAAACCTTTTCATTCCAGGGAGAGAGGAAAGACACACCACATGTGAGTAAAAGCAGCACATTTGCACCCACACAATAGTTAGATACATAATAACCCCTTGATTGCCATTTTTAACCCTTTGATTGCCCCAGATGTTAACCCCTTCCTGCCCAGTGTCATTAGTACAGCGTCAATGCTATTTATTAGCACTGATCACTGTATTAGTGTCACTGGAGATGTCAGTGGCAGTTAGTCAGTTCCCCCCCAGTGTCAGTTAGTGTCAGAATGCCCCCCGTAGTCTCACTATAAGTCACTGATCGCCGCTATTACTAGTATAAAAAATAAATAAAGAAGCATACCAGTATATATACTGCCATTTGTAGACTCTATTACTTTCATGTAAACCAATTAGCTGCTTGCCTACTGGACACTTATAGCCCCTTTCTGCCCAGGCCAATTTTCAGTTTTCAGTACTGTCGCACTTTGAATGACAATTGCGCTGTCATGCAACTCTGTACCCATATGAAAGTTTTATCTTTTTTTTACACAAATAGAGCTTTTTTTTGGTGGTATTTATTCACCACTTGGTTTTTTATTTTTTGCACTATAAATGAAAAAAAACAAAAATGTTGAAAAAAAAAGGTTTTTATTTGTTTCTATTATAACATTTTGCAAACAGGTAATGTTTCTCCTTCACTGCTGTGCATTGATGAGGCGGCATTGATAGGCAGCACTGATGGGCACTGACAGGCTGCACTGATGAGGCGGCACTGGTGGGCATTGATAAGGAGGCACTAATGAGGCTACACTGATGTGCCTTACTGATGGGCACTGATAGGCAGCCAAGATGGGAACTGATAGGCAGCACTGATAGCCACTAATAGCTAGCGCTGAAGGGCACTGACTGGCAGCACTGATAGGCAGCACTGACTGGCAGCACTGGTGGGTACAGATTTACAGCACTGCTGGACACTGATGGTCAGCACTGTTGGGCACTGATGGGCAGCAGTGATGGGCACTGCTGGATAGCACTGTTGGGCACTGATGAGCATTTTTGGGACTGCACTGTTAATCAGGGCACTGATAATCAGTGCCCTGATTATCAGTGCAGATGTCTCCTTCGACAGTTGCCGGTTATCGGCAGTACTTTCCTTACGCTGTGACAAGTGTATTTTCATGGTGATCAGCTGTGATTGGACACTGTCCATGTGATCAATTGTGTCATATGATCAGCTGTGTCCCAAGGGCACATATATACTGTATGTACTGTATATATATTATATACACATGTGTGTAGCATTATCACTTTAAATATGTGCCAAATGTCATAAACATATTATCACTGTAATACTGCAAAATCAGTGGCAATAATAAAATAAAATTAAAAGTTCACCAGAATCCACAGTATAAATAATAACAAATATAGTTTAGAACTTTGCTAAAGATAAATTCCTGCAACACTATGTGAATTCCAGCCCAAAGTATTCCTTCACCACCATCATAAAAACTTGTACCTCTTACCAAATAATGAGACCCCTTATCATAGGAAGGTCATTTGCTTGCCCAACAGCATTGGATAAATGGTAGTCAGTAATAGATTCTCCAGGATAAAGGAAATATTTTACTGATGTGAATTGCTATAATGTTGCACTATGCAAGATTCTAATGCACTACAGTAGGTATTCCCAAACCTTTTGACCACTTCAGGATTGCCCGCCTGCAATGTGGACAGGCGGCCTGCACAGGCACAGCGACGTACCCGTACATCGATGGCCTCTTCCAGAAACAGGGCACCTCCGCTGACTGTGTTATTAGACACAGTGGGATTCTGTCAGCAGATCACGGCCAATGATTTATGGCCGGTACCTGCTGACCGGCTGTGTCCAATCACAGCCCAGAGCTCTGTTCTGAAAATCAACACGGGTTTTGTACAGAGGGAACAGTCTCTTTATTTCATCTCCCTACAAAGAGATTTTTTAGTAAAAATCAGGACATAATACACACATTAACACTTGTAAGGCACACACTTAACCCCTTGATTTTACCAAGATATTAACCTCTTCCCAGCCAGTGTCATTAGTACAGTGACAGTGTATTAACACTGATCACTCATTTCCCAGTGTTAGTTATTGTCAGATTGCCCGTCGCACTATCACCATCCCACAATAAGTTGCTGATTACCGCCATTACTAGTATAAAATAAATAAATAAATAAATAAATAAAAAATCAAGTATATATATAATATTGTTTGCAGATGCTATAACTTTCACCCAAACCAATCATGGATTGGTTGTGTTGGATAGCTGTATGTTATTATTATTATTATTATAATACAGGATTTATATAGCTCCAGCAGTTTGCTCAGCACTTTACAATATAAAGGGAGACAATACAGCAACAATACAGTTCAATACAAGAGGGTTAGGAGGGCCCTGCTCCTTGGGGCTTGCAATCTAGGAGGGAGGGGCTGGTGGTACAAAAGGTAATAACTGTGGTGGATGAACTGATAGGAGGAACAGAAGATTCCGTTATTAGTTGAAGGCAGTATAGGCTTCCCTGAATAGAGAGGTTTTCAGAGATCGCCTAAAAGTGGGCAGAGTAGGCGATAGTCGAATAGATTGGGGTAGAGAGTTCCAGAGGATGGGGGAAGGCTCTGGAGAAGTCCTGGAGATGAGCATGGGAGGAGGAGACAAGGGAGCTAGAGAGCAGGAGTGAAGAGGATGGTTTGGGTGATATTTGGAGACAAGATTGGTGATGTAATTTGGGGCAGAGTTATGAATGACTTTATATGTTATTGTTAATGTTTTGAATTTTTTTTTTTTCGTTGGGCAACGGGAAGTCAGTGGAGGGATTGGCAGAGAGGGATGGCAGATATGGAACGGTTAGTAAGGTGGATGAGTCTGGCAGCAGCATTCATGATAGACTGAAGAGTGTTGTATAGCAGAAAGTAAAAAATATTGTTTTTTTTGTCAAAATGTTTGGTCTTTTTTCATTGATATAATTAAAAATTTAAGAAACCCAGAGAGCTCTACTATTTATTTACATAGTTACATAGTTAGTCTGGCTGAAAAAAGACAAAAGTCCATCCAGTTCAACCATAGAAAAAAAAAAAAAAAAAGTTATAATCCAATACCCACAGTTGATCCAGAGGAAGGCAAGAAAAAACCCAGCAAAGTACGATTTGAAAAAATTATATACATTCCGTTTGGGTACAGTGTTACATGACAGCGCAATTACCAGTTAAAGTAGCGCAGTGCTAAATAGCAACAAATGGCCTGGTCATGAAGTGGGTAAAACCTTCTAGAGCCAAAGAGGTTAAACAAAGATCCAGTTCACTGTCCATCACACTGTTTGCTGGCCAAACTGTGATTAGTAGGCGTAACAAAATACCCTGGCATCATTGGTTAGAAGGAGTAAAAATGCCCCTATGTCGGTGGTCAGTAGGAATAAAACATGCCAATATATCACTGGCCAGCAGGAGTAATATACAGTATGTGCCTGTGCTGGTGGTCATTATGAGTAATTATGAGCAACAATGGTCAGTCTGAGCAAAAAATGAATAAAACATACCCCACAGCTTCAATAGTCAGTGGGATATCAGGGAATAAAACATACCCTTGTGTCAATAGTCAGGGAATAAAACATACAATAGTCCATACCCTTGTGTCAATAGTCAGGGAATAAAACATACCCTTGTGTCAATAGTCAGGGAATAAAAACATACCCTTGTGTCAATAGTCAGGGAATAGAACAAAACCCTTGTGTCAATAGTCAAGGAATAAAACATACCCTTGTGTCAATAGTCAGGGAATAAAACATACCCTTGTGTCAATAGTCAGGGAATAAAACATACCCTTGTGTCAATAGTCAAGGAATAAAACATACCCTTGTGTCAATAGTCAGGGAATAAAACATACCCTTGTGTAAATAGTCAGGGAATAAAACATACCCTTGTGTCAATAGTCAGGGAATAAAACATACCCTTGTGTCAATAGTCAGGGAATAAAACATAC